TCCCTCCCGGAGGACTTGTTCCCTGAATTTTTCCGCCCTTAAAAATTCCACGACCTCCGCCGGGTTTGAACCCGCGTACCTTGAGTCATGAGGTGGGAACGTTACCCCTAGACTACGGAGGCCGCGTGAGCAGACTATCTAGAAAATGTGGGTACCTCAACATCTCACAACTCTACGGGCCTCCACGGCCTGTTACAGGGATATCTTTACTTTTTTTCTTTTACTTACATGTCCGTATGTCCGTCTGTAACATCTGGAGAACAACTGGGCGGATTTTCGCGAAAACTGACACTGAAGAAGAAATTTACTGATGTCTGTTAATACTCTTCCAAATTTGGTCATACTCGGACAACAACAGACACTTTACACGGAGATCTACATGCGTAACGCATTAATACTTATCAGAGCGAAGAAAATTTCGAATAAAAGTTGCGGAGAAAACAAACACACGTTTTCTGTCAGCGATACTTTTCCCGCCGGTTTCGATGGACAATGCCGGAATTGGTACGCAGTGCGTATACACAACGTCCTGTGGCTCAGTCGATAAGCCAATCCGAAAGTGGCGCACGTGATGTTCAGACATCCCCCGTTATGAAGAAGCAATCTCCTTTCGTTAGACTTGAACACTAGTTTAAGTACATTTCGGAGGAACATATCTGCTCCATCTTCAGGGTCGAAGAGTAAGGCAGAGCAGACAAATAATAGGACACAAGCAGGCCGAGCTCACTTGCTACCTACTTACCTGGTTTATTATTCGACCCTGAATATGGAGGCAGTACATTCCTCCGAAAAGCCGGGAAACTTCTACCACACTACACGGCGTCATATACCTCTCTCTTATATCCACCTGAACACAAAGCCGATGTCAGTCCAGTGTCCAGCCACATGCTAGGTGCAACACGAGTGTGCGTGCGTGCTCGCACGCCATATTTCAGCCAGACACACACAAAGGACAAAGTCTACAGGAGCCGACTTTCAAGGGAGTATGCGACACAGAACCCTTCATAACCACTGGTATGACAACCTCAAATCCTAGAAAAGTCTAGGGATTTGTCACGAAGACGTGATATTAAAAATAACACATTTTGAGGCATTTTACGTCTTCTTTCAGTTCACGAAATAGAAGGTTTCGAAAGCTGGTTCGGCTTCCGCCATCAGGGAGACGTATCAGACTAACTATGCTGGATCCATTACACGATTACCACAGCGCTTCGAAGGGTTGCCAAGCGGACGGAGCTTGTACCCGACAGAAGTTAGGATCGAATCTGAACTGGGGAACTAGCTGTCCTTCTTGCCTGAGGTTTCACACGGTTTCGCTCAGTCCTACCAGGTAAATTCCGCGTTGGTTCCTCAATACACTTCTTTCCAAATCCTTCCCGATTCATTATTCACCAGTCATCCTACCATATGACGCTAGCGCCATGAAACAGCACAAAATTACAGTAAACTCTCGATAATCCGGTTACAGTTAATCCGGAACGAAATATGAAAAGTGAAAAACTCTGTTCACAGTTGAGTACATACCTCAAAAAGTCACATGGGATTTAGGAGCAAGAGGACTTTCAGACTGTGCTGAGGGCGGCTGGAGAGACTGAAACCCAAGGATGGCTTCAGCTGGATGGAGACCCTGGATTTCAGCTTCTGACGAAGGAAGAAATTTCTACAGTGCCATTTTCTGAATTTCATCAGCACTACCTACATTATTAAAATTTTCCATTTGTTTCTAAGTTTTCTTTTGTCTTTTCGGGCTATTTTCCCTTCATTAATCCGGATCAGCGAGACTTTACTGCACATTTTGGGGTTTAATGACGTGGCAGACGGGCAAAACTTACCGCGCAGAATCTGGTACAGGAAGACTTTGATATGATCAGCTGACAGATGCTGCGGTGACACGATGATCTTGTGGAGATCACTTTGCAGGAGTTCCGTGATGACGTAACTGGAGGTCAAAGGTTAAGGACTTAACACAGCTGAAACAGAACTGAACAGCCACATGCGTGACACGGAACAAATCGTTCCTAGGATATCCGAGCGACCATCTACGTGAAGAGGGAAGCAACAGGTTCTTCCGAAAGCTTGTACTAGCATTATCCGGCGTCAAATCTCATAATACAACAATCTTCAAATCTTCTCTGGGTTCATACCCAGGCGGGGGCGCTTGGACCACATCAGGCATACTTCTGGAATGTGACACCGTGTAGTCTCATATATCGTTACCAACGTTTCGGGAGAACCTGCTGTGCTTATTCTGTTCTGAAGGAGGCAGCCAGTTCCTCCGAAAAGCTGATTACAGTCTACCAGAGTACACGACGTCATTTAACAAAAGACACCGACCGCTGCGAGAACTTCATGCCTCATTTACAAGCTATTCCATAATTTTACCGTTGTTAACACCTCACCATGAAAGTCCACTTTTGGACCCTATGGACACAAGAACGTGTTCACAACCTGCGACAGTAACGGGGTGGCAGGCCACGCCATGGTGCTAATGCCCCCGAAATAGTCTTTCTTCAAAAGCTAACAGTTGCTCATCTGGTCAAAAAATTCGCTGTCACTTCTGGAACTCGACGACTCACTCCATTTTTAATGTTCTGTAGTAACAATACATTTGTCCGGAAAACAGGCTGAGGCTGTGAGCTGGACTGAAGTGTCTCAAGTCGGGCACAGCGGTAACTTTAAAGAGTTCGGTCTTCAGTCCTGTAGAAAGTCACCGATGTTTCGGGGAACGTACTGCCTCCATCTTCAGGGGTGAAGAGTTAGATAAGCCATCCGACTGCTTCTTGCTGATGTCTTCCTTCGTTAAATATCAGGCCTTGAAGATGGAGGTACGTTCCTCCGAAACGTCGGGGCGCTTCCACCAAATTACATGATGTCACAATCCCAGAAGATTTTACTCTTTGGTAATTATCCTTCGAACACGATAATGAGAGGGGTATTTCTTGACTAGCTAAGCGACTGTCATCTTCTCAAGAGCTCATGCGGCCTGATCGCTTTGTGTCTGTGAAGACGAGTACTGGCCGCAGAGACAATGTGTGCAACGCAAGGCCATCTTCAGGCAAGCAACCTGCAGGTGGCTGGGCTGGCCTTGGCAGGCCGCACGGCCGATGACCAGTACAGCTCCACTCCGCCTGCCTCGCACCAGTAGGCACCCCTCACACTGCTCAATCACACTTCATCACGACTCCTACATGAACACAGACACGTGAACAAAACGTTCTGAGAAGTGCCAATGGCACTTACATTCCCTGGTAAGTTCCAGTCTATACAGTAACATTAGCAAGAACTACCAAATTAATAAAACTATTTGCCCTGCGCGAAGTACTCTCCTGTGATGCAGTCTGGTAGAACTTTCACAACGTTTCGGCAAACGTACTGCCTCCTTCTTCGGGATAAAAGCGCAAGGTAAGCAGGCGGCAAGATCAAATTACTCTTCGACCTTGAAGGAGGCGACGTTCCTCCGAAACGTGAGGCCCGCATATCCAATACACACAGAATTATGAGACCCGTTTCCGTGCATGACTGAATTAAGTCGGGGAGGGGGGCACGGTTCCTTCCCTTTGACCCCCCTTCGAGTTGAGCGTGGTGCCGAGGGGTAGCCTTACAGGTCAACAGCACATGATACAACGACCTTGATCGTCAGAAATGTCCCCGACTATGGGCGGATCGTCAGTGATCAACATTCAACTGACCAAGGTCATGGAGAGGAGAATCTGTCAAGAACAGAGAGAGCTCAGGTCCTGATGCCCAGAAGGGACGTTTCCCTTCACCACCCTAGGGCAGTAACGTGCTTCGCGGGCGCGAAATGTCTCAGGGCCACTGCAATGTCAGCGTTCAGTGTACATACGCGGGACTACTCAACTGACACGCCCTCTTGAGACCCTAACAGTCGCTCAGCTGGCAAAGACACTCCACCCTTTCATGAAAGGCAAAGGCCCATTACCTGTTCATAAAATCCCCAAACTGGAGCCAATTGATAACCACGTAACCTTTAATATCTGAGAGCCCGCACAGAGGACGACTGAGGGGTCGGAGTTGGAATACCGGTGGGGCCCACCCAGCCTCCTACTTATCATGTTCCTCGCGCGTGCTGCATTCTCTGCCTTTCTTACTTCATATGATATTATGACGCTAATGGTGAAGCTAGCAAATTATGAACCTCCTCAAGAATGAACAGCAAAGCCTTCTGGGTTCTAAGGCAGTGTAGTTAGGCCTGAGTCCGGGCTGCGCCATAGTTCAAGCGGTTAGGCGCCGGCTTCCCATCGCGACGGCCCGGGGTTCAATCCCGGGTCTGGTCAAGTGGGATTTGTGGTGGACAAAGTGGCAACCGGCAGGTTTTCTCCAAGTACTTTGGTTTCCCCTGCCAATCTTCATTCCACCAATTGCTCCATAATCACCCTTACCTATCATCTGGGGCTGGTACAATAGGCCAGAAGTGACCTCAGTACGAGGGACTTAGTCCCACCCCAATGGTAATAAAAAAAATAGGCCTGAGTCCGACGTTTCGGGGGAATATATCTCCTCCATCTTCAGGATCCAAGAGTAAGCGATAAAACATCCCGGCTTGCCGCTTGCTATTCGAACCTGAAGATGGAGGTGATTAATTGCCCTGAACAGAACCCAATAGGCCGTACAGTCACCGCTGGGGGCAGCACCACACATCGCAAGTATGAACATCGCCCAACAAAACTACCTTAGAAAAAGACTTACTTTCTTATCTGCATCGCCTCACTCCTGCATGAGTAGCAGTGAAAGTAGCGGCCACTATGTGGCGCGCACATCTGCACCGTCCGTCACTGTGCACAGCGCAGCGAGTCCCTACTTACAATTCATTGTCAACTGAACTGCATCTGCCACGTGCTGTCATGCGTCATCACATTCTGCCGAAATTCTTATCGCCTCCTACTCCAAACGGGACCCTGAACCCGGCCCGGTAGCTCTGTATCCCCCTGAACACTCAAAAAGACAGAGCAACCGAGTTTCGTACAAGAAAGTTATCCAGGACCTGAGCAATGCTCACTAGCCTGTGTTCATGAACGAATTTGCTGTTTCACGTTACATGCGTGAATCGCCACAGGCTAGAGCGGCCAAATTTCGACTTTCTCATTAACTGACAGCTGCAAAGTTAGGAGAGGTAATTTGGGGGCTTTACAGAATGGTGTTTAATTACGATGAATCTAAATCAGGCCCCCAAGTCAAAGGTCAAAGTTATGTTACGACCAAAGGTCAGTCGCCAGTCTACCTTGGTGTCAAGCCTCATCTGGAGCCCAAGGCCAGATTTTTATTACTGCCAGACAGTTGCGGGTTTATTGATGTGGGACGCCCTCTCTGATGAGAAGACGGGTCTGTCATTCACAATTGCTGCTGGCCATCGTCAGCGTAGTCATTCTCGCGTACCCGGGACTCATGACCACATCTTACTGGCTCAGATTTGAGACTCCCTCAACCTGGAGGCCCAGGTCCCCGTATTCATATCCCCCACCCCCAGGAACAGGGTGGCAAAGTTATAACCTCAGGTGCTCAGTCCCCTTTTCGTCGCCTCCTACGACTCGTTGGAATAAGGTGGAGGTATTCGAAACTGCCTCCATGCGGGGGTTATGCCCCACAAGACATAAATCTTCATAAAAAATTAAGTTCGCGCCTCACAGGAAACACATTACGTCTCCGCTACAAAGCCCAACCGGTTAATGCTGTTTAGGGAAACAGTCGCTGTTTACTGTAAGAACCATATGGAATACATAAATACAATGTGTGGGCATAATGCAGAATTCAGTCCGTACCTCACAGGAAACACATTACGTCTCCGCTACAAAGCCCAACCGGTTAATGCTGTTTAGAGAAACAGTCGCTGTTTACTGTCAGAACCATACGGAACACACAAATACACTGTGTGTGCATAATGCAGAATTCAGTCCGTACCTCACAGGAAACACATTACGTCTCCGCTACAAAGCCAATACGGTTAATGCTGTTTAGAGAAACAGTCGCTGTTTATTGTGACAACCATAAGGAACACAATGTGTGTGGCAAAACGGGGAGTTTTGAATGTTAAAGCAGGCAGTGAAGTTATTGGCGTTCTTTAAAGGGTCAGGCAAGGGCTAAGTCAGCAAACAAACTAATGCTCTTACTAATGCCACTTACTGCTACCGCTGTTTTATTCCTTTCAAAACGACAACTTAAATAGAACAAGAATGTGCGGGACTAAGCAACCTTCTGCTCCCACGAAGAAATTACTGGTGGCCACTGAGACTGGGGCCCGGTAGGCTCAGGCACAGCTCAGACTGGTACGAGGTTTACTGGAAGATGAAGTTTTAGTCACTATCAATGCGAATCTCCACGGCTGGGAACATCTCAGCCTTGACAAGTTGAGTGAGATGCTCTGGATATGTGACACGAATATCAAAAATGGAACTGAATACAAAATACTAACCCGGCAGAACCAGACACAAATGGAACATAAGGATTTTCCTTGTGCTTAGGCAGTTAAGGACCACGGCATGAAGATGTATTAGAGAGTGGAGATATGGCTGCACCATTCTTAAGGTTGGCCTTAGATGGAGGTGAGAGGTCAGCTTCACGCCCCGGCCGCTTCACCTTCTGGGAAAGAGCCTCCGTTACCCACTGGATGAAGTCACGTAGCCCCCAGAGCCTGTCTGGACGACATGGAGAGGAAAAATATCTCTTGCTCCCTGCCGGGAATCAAACCCGAATTCCTCGGTCGTCCTTCCCGTGGCTCCGACGTCCCAGCCAAGAAAGCCGCAACATCCGGACACTAAAGATGATTAGGCAGTACACCAGGGCATGCCTTTTCCCCTCCAACAGCCCCGGGCAGCTCATCCGCCCAGCTCACCCTCCTCCCCCGCTGCACATCGCCAACAAAGCTACAACGTGCCAGTCTTTCCCACGGCCCCCAAGTTAAGACTTTGAGGACACACGAAAAAA